AAGCAACTAATTGGTGAGTAGTCTAAAAAAAATGAAGAATGCTCATTGATCGATGCTAAGTAGAATACACGCCCTTTTCACACAACCAATCCCCTGGTCATGCCCTCTAAAAAAACATTTGTCACCCTCTTCCCCCACCGTTTCTGCAGTTACCATAAATGTCAAACCCTTCTCCATCATCGCCTCTCCATCAGGTCAGCCGGCAACTTCTCCGTAGATGTTCCGCGTCAACGATTCTGTCCTCCAGAAAGTTGTAAGAGCATATCCACATTCCCTATCCTCGACCTTATCCTCAGTCATAGTTGAAATTACTCCGTGTAGATCGTCATCACTCCCCTTCCCTTTCCCTCTCCCTTCCATGGCCAAGACCACCCCTCGTCAGAGTCATATGTGCGCCTGTTACCCCATGCGATCCGTAAAGCACTGTTCATTCATCATCATGTATCAGCATTTCCCGGCAGTCCTTCCCAGTTCCACATTATATCACCTATGTACATTACTCACAACATCTATGGCTAATTTCCTCGAGAAGTATCCTCATTCTAATGGAGGGCAAAGGAGTGGGAAGGAGAGAGAGAGAGAGAGAGAGAGAGAGAGAGAGAGAGAGAGAGAGAGAGAGAGAGAGAGAGAGAGAGAAGGGGAAGGGGGGCGGAAAGAGAGGGAGAAATAGAGAAAGAACAAAATCGAACGAATTAATGGATATAATGGATAACCGAGCTTAGCGGCATTCATACCAATAAGCTTTAAAGCAGCTAGTGATAGAAAAGATTGGTGATAAAGAACTTTGATGGAGGACGATCCATCAAATTAGGGGGTGAAATCCCCTGTTACCTCCCAAATCCCAAGTCCCATTGGAAACATCCCCATACCCCAAAAAACAAGTGAACACGCCATTTCAATCCACTAGTTCAAATAAGGGAGAAATAATTTCTAGTAAAATAGTGGAAAGATGCTAAAAAGCAATGTCACAGCCGGTCTCTGATCAACAAAAATGAGCGCTAGAAAAACTCGAGGATGCTCTGAAGAGAAAAAAATATTTTTGATTGATCGTAACCACAAGCTTCTTATCGCAATGTCGAAAGCAACTAATCGGTGAGTAGTCCCAAAAAAAATGGAGAATGCTTATTGATCGATGCTGAGTAGAATACACGCTCCCTACGCACAACCACTCCCCTGGTCATCCCTCAATCCAGTGTCTAAAAAAACTCGTCACCTTGTCCCCCCACCGTCTCTGCAGTTACCATAGATGTCCAATCCTTCTCCATCATCGCCCCTCCATCAGGTCAGTCGACAAGTATTCCGTAGATGTTCTGGGTCAACGATTTCGTCCTCCATAAAGTCGTCAGACCATATCCACATTCTCTACCCCGACCTTATCCTCAGTCATAGTCGAAATTACTCTTTTCCAAATCGTCATCACACCCCTTCCCTTTCCCTCTCCCTTCCATGGCCAGGACCACCCCTCATCAGAGTCATATGTGCGCTTGTCACCCCATGCGATCTGTAGAAGCACAGTTCACCATCATGTATCAGCATTTCCCGACAGTCCTTCCCAGTTCCACAGTATATCACCTATGTACATCACTCACAACATCTATCATCTACTACAATAGACTACAATAGATACTAAGTAGATTATAATGTATATTATAATGTAGATTAAAATGTGTATAATTATGAATGATGTAGGTTTCAATACTGTCCTTAAACCACCAGTACCTCGCTCAGCTATAGAGTCCGAAGCTCGGACTACCGGTAGCTCGATGATTCCCGAGCCTC